TCTTTTTTGGGGGAGGTTACCGGGAATCAAACTCAGAACCTTGTGCTTGCTAGACAGGCACTTGTGCCACTGAGCTATATCCTTGGCCTTGTCCACATATCTTAACATATATGTTATATCTCTTTTTGTTTTGATTTTGTTTTCAATTTTGAAGTGGGGATCTCACTAAGTTACCCAGGGTAGTATCCTGTCTCAAAATTAATAATACTACTACTAATAGACTGGAGATGTAGGTATATATTTCAGGGTAAAGACCCTGGGTTCAGTCTCTGGTACTGGGGGGAAAAAAAGGATCAAAATCATACTCAAGATATTAGACTTGAACCTTATTTATTTGTTTGTTTATTTATTTAAAAAATACTGTAGCGTGTTCTCCAGAATTATATTGGGCTAGGTTTTTCCGTTTCTAAGGACCTATCATATACATGGTGTCTTTTTGTCTTACAGAGCTTCCAACTAAAACCACCCTATGTAGAAACCAACAAAAATTTGATCCAAGGTAGAATTAGCAGTCATTAATGTTTTTGTCCTTTATAAATTAATACTGCCTTGCCTTCAGATTCCTATTGCTTTTTTTTTTTTTTTTGGAGATAGGATCTCTGTGTGCAGTTCAGGCTGGCCTTGAGCTCACTTTGTAGCCCAGACTGGTCTCGAACTTGGAATGATCCTCCTGCCTCAGCCTCCCGAGTGCTGGGATCACAGGCGTCCGCCACCATGCCCAGCTTCCTATTGTTTTAGAAAATTGTACGTATGTTGTATACTGGAATAGAAAAAATAATTTCTTAAAGCTGCATTCTGGTTTCTATGAACCAGGTTGAGTCAGAGGGTGAAATTATATAGAGTTTAAAGTAAGTTTTTGTTTTTGCTTATTTTTTCCCTTTATGCTAAGGATTGAACCTGGAGAGCATTGAGCTGCATCCCCTGGCCATTTAAAATTTATTTTCTTTTCATATGGTTTTGCTAAGTTGTTCAAGTTATCCTCCCATTTGTGATCCTTTCCTTCCAGCTTTCTGAGAGGGAGAATTACAGGTGTGCTGCTGTTCCCTGCTAAATTGAGTTTTTGGTGAACTAAATCTTCAAAAATCTGAAACAAGTTTCATTTATTTTGGGTGGTAGTAGATGTACATGGTAAAAATGAAAAGGTACAGACAGAGGTATGCCCTTAGAGGCTGAGGCAAGAGGATTGCAAGTTTGAGCCCAGCCTGGGCAACTTAGTAAGACATTGTCTCTAAATAAAAAGTAAAGGCCTGGAGTTGTAGCTCAGTGCAGAGTCTGGGTTCAATCCCTAGTACTGGGTGGGTAGGTAGGGGAGGTAGAGTCTAAATTCCTTTACATCTTTACTCTGAATTCTTCTAATTTCTTTCACTAGAGACATTCTTGGTAATGTTCCTGATGTATCTACTTTTTTTGAGGGGGAAGGTAAGAAAATTAGCAGATTAATTTATGGCAGTTAGAAAAACATTTCTGTTAATTGCTCTTAATTCTAAAAGGCAGTGGTGAGTTCTCAAAGTGAGGTCAGAGTTATTTTCTTAACAGTACTAGTGATTAGGACCTTTTACTTCATTAATGCGTGTATCTGTGGTATAAAACCAATAGTGGTAAGACTTTTGGTCGAGCATGGTGGCACATGTTTATAATCCCAGCGCTTGAGAGGGTAAGCCAGGAGAATCAATGTTAGGCTGAGTTCGAGGCCAGCCTGGGTTACACAAGCAAGTTCATGGCCAACTTGAACTACATAGTGAGACCCTGTCTCAAAAAAGATTGCTAGGGCCAGGGATATTGCTCAGTGGCACATTGCCTGCCTGGCAAGTGTGAGGCCCTGAGTTCAATTTCTGGTACTAAAAAAGAAAATAGGAAAAAAAAAGGCAAAAGAAAAAGAAGAAAAGACTGCTGGCATGATTCAAGGCTGTGCTACAACAGTGTAGTAGGAGTCATTGTATATTTCTCCTGCTTTACACTAGTGTGTAGTTAGAAGAAATTCATTTTCACTTAAGAAAGTCATTAAATAACTTGTGGTTGAAAACATAATTTTATTAAAGTCATCTCCTGAGTGTATGCTGCATTGTTTCTCCCTAAAATTCATGTGTTGAAGTCTTAACCCCTAGTGTAAATGAGGTCAAGAGGCTGGGACTCTTATTGCTCCTTTTAGAGAAACATCCTTGAGCTTGCTGTTTTATTTTAATTTTTTTTTGAGACAAGGTTTTCTGTGTAGTCCAGGCCAGCTGGAATTTGCAGCAATCCTCTTGCCTTAGCCTCCTCACTGCTGGGATTACAGCATTGCACTACCATACCTACCTAGCTTGCTGTTTGTCAGGCCAGGAAGAGAGCCATCAGTAGAACTTGAGCGTGCTGGCACTCTCATCCTGGACTTAAACACTCCCAAACTGAGAAAATTAATTTCTGCTGTTTCACCCACCCAGTAGACAGTGTTTTGTAATGATAGCCTGAGTAGGCTGATATATAGCATATGATTAAATAGGAAGTGTGGCCAAAACACTTTTGCTACTTATGTATGTATGGCAGTTCCCTTGAGGGAAAGCAGTTATGTAATAGTTTAACTGTCACAAATCATTTAATGATAGGGAAGACATTCTGAGAAGTCATTATGTGATTTTTGTCATGTGAACCTAATGGAGGATACTTAAAAGAACCTGGATGATGTAGGCTAGTCACTCTACATGGCCTGATGATACAGTCCAGTGACTGAGGAATGGTGCTGGAACAGTTGGACACCATTAAAAAAACTCACAAGAATTGATACCTTATATCAGAATTCCTTTGTGCTGCTATAACAGAATAATACAAACTGGGTAATTCATAAATAGTTCATATATGGTACAGCATTTCTGTTAACATTAGATTGCATAAGTGAAGGTGGAACCATAAGATTACAAAGGAGCTAAAAATTCTTATTGCCTAGTGGTATCATAGCTAGTGTCACATTGTGCAGCATACTGCCTTTTTGTGACAATGCTGGTGTAAACTAACCTGCACTGACAATTGTACAGAAATATAGCATGTACAGTGATACACACATTTGATAATAAATGACTGTGATACTGATTTATGTATACACTATTCTTTTTATCACTAGTTAGCATATTACTTACTAAAAAATGTTTACTGAGTGCTGGGTGTGGTGGTGCAAGCCTCTAGTTCCAGCACTGGGGGAAGCTGAGTCAGGAGGATTGGGAGTTTGAGGACAGCCTGGGCCAAATAGTGAGTTCAAGGACAGTCTGAACTATATAAGTAGTGTAGGTTTCAATTTTTTCTCATGCATCCCCAGCAGCATTTATTTTTAATTTTTATTTTTATTTTGAGACAGGGTCTTGCAAAGTTACTCAGGCTGGCTTGAACTTGCCTGCTTTACTGCTTTACTTGCCTGCTTTGCTTCTAGAAGTTACCAGAAACACTGGAAAGACATGATAAACTGAGAGAAAATATTTGCAAATCCCATATTTGAGAAAACAACCCAGTAAAAAATGTGCAAAAGATTTGAATAAACAGTTTGCCACAGAAGACATTCAGAGGACAAATAAACACTGAGAAAGATGCCTAACCTCTTCAGTCTTTAGGAAAATACAAAGTAAAACTACTATGATGAGATAACTACTGTTCATTCATTAGAATGAGAAACAAAAGAGGTAAAACTCTTTCCTAACTTTCACTTGACAGAGTTGTTTTTTTTTTCTTTTTTTGTCTTTTTGAGACAGAGTCTCACTGTGTACTTCAGGCTGGCCTTGAGCTCACTTTGTAGCCTAGGCTGGTGTCAACTCGCAGTGATCCTTCTGCCTCAGCCTCCCGATTACTGGAATTACAGGTGTGCGCCACCATGCCTGGCTTTGACAGAGTTTTATGAAGGAAAACTATTTTTAGTGTTGTGACCCAGTGTACACACACACACACACACACACACACACACTTCCTTTGAAATGTATATTGTGATCATTTTTTATTCCTAAAAGAGTGCTGCTTGTTAGCCCCATTGATTTTTAAGAATGCCCAGTAGGATGTGATTTATAGTTTACAGAAAAAAATAAGACTTATGCCTGTTTAGAGCATGAGTTTTTGGTTTTTTTTTTTACTCCAGAGCCTCAACTGTAACCTTTTTTCTTTTTCTTTCTTTTTTGGTACTGGCAATCGAACTCAGGATCTTGCGCTTGCCAGGCAGGTACTTGTGCCACTGAGATATAGCTCTGGTTCTTTTTTTTTGTTTTGTTTTTCTCCGGTACCGGGAACCGAACTCACGACCTTGCGCTTGCCAGGCAGGCGCTTTGCCGCTGAGCTAAATCCCCAGCCCCTTTTTTGTCTTTTTGAGTCAGGGTTTCACTATGCAGTTCAGGAAGGCCTTGAACTCACTTTTTGTAGCCCAGGCTGGCCTCAAACTTGCAGTGGTTCTCCAGCCTCACTCTCCTGAGTGCTGGGATTACAAGCATGCACCACCAAGCCTGGCTCAACTCTAACCTTCTAACTAAAGCTTATTTTAGGCTGGGCGTGGTGGCGCCTAAAATATATATAAATATGTATGTGTGTATATATATACATATACATATGTACATATATATATATATATATATATATATATATATATTTTTTTTTTTTTTAAAGTAAGACTGGCTTCTTTCTCCTGACTCCCTGTACTGGGGAGGGTGTAGCGGGGGAGGCTGAAGTATGACGATTATCCTGAGTTCGAGGCTGGCCTGGGCTACAGAGTTTCAGGCCAGCCTAAACTACAGAGCAAGACCCTCCCTCAAAAGAAAAAAAAGTTTGGGTTCTATTCTGTGGCACTTAGCAGCAGCACTCGCTGCATTTTTGATCATACTGTGTAAAGACACAAAAAAGGACTTACAGAAGTGCTTCAGAAAGTGACAAGAATGATGAAATAAGTGTGTTCAAAACAAGGGGAAGTATTTTGAGGGGAATTTATGACAATGTGTCTTATTGTAATATTTTAAAAAATGTAAACCACATTTTTTGATTTCCCCTTGTATGAATTTTAGGGGGACACAATTCAGCCCATAACAGCCAGCAAAAGGCCAAGTAACTTAATGATTTGTATGGTGTGAAGCTGGACTATGACATATGTGAAGCCTGGTTACTGTGGTGAGGTGTTTTGCTTTTATTTAATTTCTGGCTGGATCTTGATTTGAAATATGTACAATTGTACTTTTTTCTTTTTTCACATTGAACCTTTATTTCTGTGACAAAAGTAATACTTGGCTATTCAAGGAAAAGTTAAAGGCCTTTTCTCAGAATGAGTTTTTTTTATTTCATTATTTTAAAGAGAAAAACTAGAAATAAAAATAAAAGTTTCAAAACAGGCTAATAGAATAAAAATAATTAATAGATTGTGTATTGTAATTTTCATAGTAGTTACTCAGTACAAGATATAGTCATGAAATATTGTTCAAGCAGTGCGCAAACCTTTCTTTTCAATGAACTAAGAGAAACTAGCTGTATAACTATCTTAACTGTCGTGTGTGTATGTATATATATATATGTATGTATGTGTAGCTACATATGTATATTTTCTTTTCCTTCCTTTCCCTTTTCCCCCATCAGTGTCTCTTTTTCATTTTGAACAGTTTCTTCTCATTTCACAGTAGTTGTTGTACATTTTGGATCTTACTTACTCATTCAGCTTCTCACGCTAGGGAGACAATATGATGTTTACACCTGTGGGTCTGATTTATTTCACTTATGAGTATGGTCTCAAGTTACACCATTTACCTATAAAAGCCTCAAGTTTATCCCTCTTTATGGCTAGAATGAGTTCTACTAAATTGTCTTGTCTTTGACCACAAGTCATTTTCTTAATGTTTGTACAGTAGATCTTTGATTTAGGGCTTGGTTAGTGTCTTGTGCCCAGCATCCTGCTTCAGTAATCACTTTTCTATTACTGTTTCACTTAGCATCCGTTTAAAAATTTTTTCCAATGGATTATACCCCTTATTCTTTAATTGAGATAAAATTCACATAAAAGCCACTGTTTTAATCATTTTAATCTATACAGTTCAGCAGCATTTAGTACATTCACCGGTTGTACAGCTGCTATCTTTACTTAGTTTCAGAACATTTTTTTTATCCCTGAAGGGAACTGCATTGTCATTAAGAACTCAGGACCTTCCAGTTCTCCCTAAAGGAATACAGTTTTTATCCAAAGGAAGTCATAATTTCCTTTCAGGCCCTTTATTCAGTGTCTTGAGAGTAAGATAAAGCAAATGTAAGAATGTAGAAAAATAAAAAGAGACTACAATATTTTCTATTTTTGGTGGGGGGCTACTGAGATTTGAACTCAGGGCCTTGTGCTTGCCAGGCAGGCTCTTATACTGCTGAGCTATATCCCTGGTTCCAATATTTCGTATTTCTGAACCAAAAATAATTATGAAATGTTTTTAGTTTCTATCCTTCATGTGGTTTTAGTGGTCTAATTTTGAAAATGTGCTCATGTTTTTATTTTATAGATATGCATGTTGAAAAGCTGTAAGGTCAACATTCTTTTTTTTTTTTTTGCAGTACTGGGCATTGAACCCAGGACTTTCATACTAAGCTATGTCCCCATCCCTTTAAAATTTTTTTTTTTTGTCCTTTTGAGACAGGGTCTCACTATGCAGTTTAGGCTGGCTTTGAGTTCACTTTGTAGCCCAGGCTGGTCTTGAACTCTCAATAATCCTCCTGCCTCAGCCTCCCAAGTGCTGGGATTACAGGCATGTGCTACCATGACTGATACAAATTTTTTTTTATAGGTAGAGTCTTGCAAAATTGCCCAAGCTGGGCTTATATTTGGGATCCTTTGCCTCAGCCTCTCAGAGTATTGGATTACCAGCATGCATCCTTTTTTTGTTGTTTGTTTGTTTTGTTTTGTTTGAGACAGGGTCTCGCTATGCAGTTGAGGCTGGCAAGCTCACTTTGTAGCCCAGGCTGGTCTTGAACTCGCAACGATCCTCCTGCCTCAGCCTCCTGAGTGCTGGGATTACAGGCATGTACCACCACGCCCGGCCAGCATGCATCCTTTATCCCCTGCCTTCCCTTGCCTCCCCAGACAGAGTCTTGGTGTATAGTGCAGTCTGATCCTGAAGTCACTGTGTAACCCAGGCTGGCCTTGAATTTGTGGCAATCCTCTTGCCTCAGCCTCCTGAGTGCTGGGATTACAGGCATGCACCATCATACCCAGTTTAAGGTCAACATTCTTACTTGCATTTATTAGCTTAATGTTGCTTTTTTACAAATAAGTAAATACACATACAGTACTGAGAAATAAGTTTCTGTGGTACTTGGCTTTGGTTAGATTTACATGCTTTTTACATTAATTATAGATATGAAGTCTGATAGTTCATTTCTCTTCCTTGGTGATTACTAGGAAATTTAAAAAGCACAGAAGTCAGTTTTGAAACTTAAAAAACTAAGTTACTGCCAGTTGCATAAGATAAGGTCTTATGATAAACTTAAAAAGACTACAAAAAAAATAGTCTTGACTACAAACATCCAGATAAAAACTTCATTTAAAAAACGTGAACAGTTCCCAGCCGACGCCTGCTCCCCCCGACATAAATGCGTGTCTGCATGCTTATACATTGTGCTCTTTTCTTCCATCAGGCTAAATTTTACAGCAAGTGAATATTAACGCTTTCTCTGTGAAATAGTCCCTTTCAAAATGTGTGATTAGACCAATTGTCATTAGTTTCATAGTTCAGGGGAAGTAAGTTGATTGAAAACTAGAAATAGGGGCTGGGGATAAAGCTCAGCAGCAGCGGCACAGCACCTGCCTGGCAAGTAGGAGGTCCTGAGTTTGATTCCCAGTACCAAAAAAAAAAAAAAAAGAAAGAAAACTGGAAATAATGCATGTTAGAAAAGGGAAGAAAGTATAAAAAGGGTGTTCATTTAAAAATGTTTTTAGCCAGATTCACACATGCAGTCCCAGTGCTCAGGAGGGTTGAGGCAAGAGGATGGTGAGATCAAGGCCACTATGAGCTACATAGAGAAAACTTGCTGAAAAAAACAGAAAAACTAAAAAGGTCTCACAGACTGGGATGTTGCTCTTGGTAGACTGCTTGCCTAGCATGCACAAGACCCTAGGTTTGATCCCCGGGACCACACACAAAAAGTAAAATATAAGATAAAATGTTCTCAGGCAGTGTTCCAACTTTTGTAGTGAAAGTACTTTTTCCTGCCTTAGTGTCCTAGAAGGAAACATCACCATGGCCACGGAAATTGGTTCTCCTCCTCGTTTTTTCCATATGCCAAGGTTCCAACACCAAGCGCCTCGACAGTTGTTTTATAAGCGACCTGATTTTGCACAGCAACAAGCAATGCAACAGCTTACTTTTGATGGGAAACGGATGAGAAAAGCTGTAAACCGGAAGACCATAGATTACAATCCATCTGTAATTAAGTATTTGGAGGTAAGTGTGATTAATGTACTTAAAATGAACAAAATTTGTGGGTTTTTTTTTGAAGTTTCCTAAAAGTAGGACAATAAACATACTTATATTGCTTGAATTAGTAGGATGAATTGAGTGACTTTAAATTTAAGGACATCTCAGATCATCTCAGCTTATTTTTTTAAACTGTGTCTTGTCCTTGGCTTTCTTAATTCCTCTTGAATTCTGCATCACCTTCTGAAAATTATTAGACTCTAATTTAAAAATAGGCTTTGTTCTGTTGAAGGGAGGAGAGGGAGAAGAAAGAAAGAATTAAGGCACATTAGGTAGAGGTACAAATTCCCTATGATGAATGTTATTATGTATGGCAAATATGGAGTAATAAAAATTTAAACAAAATAGGCTTTGTTTGAAAAATTCATAACAAGTCAGAAGAAAATACTGTACTTTAACCAATAGGCCCGCCTTAAAGCACTTAATAAATTCAATGTGTAAGAAGTAAGAGATTACTAACATCAATATTTCTGTGAGAACAGAGATTAAAACAATTTTTTTTTTTGAGACAAAGTGTCTCCTTATGTAGTTCAGGTTGGCCTTGAACTCACTGCAGAGCTCAGGGTGGCCTCAAGCGCCTGTCTCAGCCTCCTGCAGGTATACCCCATCTCACCCCACTAGGCACAGAGTTTTAGAATTGCAGTTTTGAATTTTCAGTGTCATTTGCACTGAAAGCATGGATGTTGCCATATCTGAACTCCTGGTAGTTTGGTGCTAAGAGCTGTATTTAATGAAGAGTAGGCACCATTGGGCATAGCAGCACACATCTGTAATCCCAGCATTCTGGAAGGTTGAGGCAGTAGGATCATGAGTGTCTTAGTTACTTTTCTTGTTGCTGAGACAAAATACCTGATGCACAAAGTTAAGGGAAAAAAAGTTTATTTAGCTCGCATTTGGTCCATACTCAGTCCATAATTGGCTGGCTTCAAGGCAGGGTGGCTTGGCAGATGAGAACAGTTCATGGTGGAAGACAGAGAGGGCAAGACAAGACTCTTTTTGTCTCTTACATTGTACACAGGCTTCCTGCCTTAGGGCGATATAGCACTCACATCTTTAATCCTAGCCAGAACTATGCCAAACCAGTGGACTGATTTATTGATCACACATCCTTAATCCCAGCACCACATACTCTAGATTCAGCTCCAAAAAAGCCGTATGAGCGCATGAGGCTTTGGGGTGACCTCTAGATCCAAACTGTAACAGTTTAACCCCAGCCTAGGCAATTTAGTACCTTGGGTGAGATCTTTTCTTAAAAAAATAAAAAAAGGTTGGAGGATATGGCTCAGTGCAGCGCGCGCGCACACACACACACACACACACACACACCCACACACACCTGGCTCCGCCCCCCCTTTATCTGTAGGTGGAAGCAACCCTTGCGATAAGTGAGACAAGGTCTGCCTAATGCTCCTTCACCTCTGTGTTTTTCCCTTTTGAGTTCTTTATTGTCTAACCTACTAATGTTACTGTCTCATTGGGTTTGGGTCTTCTCTGACCTCTATGAAAATCTCTCTGCTTTTCGTTACCTTAGGCCTGTGGTTCACCTTTATTTGCACATACACCTAATTAGTATCTTGAATACTCATTAGAGAATGAGAAGTAGAGTCAAATTTAGACTTTTCCAGGAATTTTCTTTTGGAAAACTAGGAGATACAATTTGAGAGGAATTATGAAACCCAAAGGCAAGACATAGGAACCATTTTGTGGTGAGGGTTTTGGAATAATTAGGATGTATGTCTATTCCCTAGTCTGTTTCCTTTTATTAAGGTGTGGTTGTGAAAAAGTATTGGAGTCTGAAGCATCTTGGTATATGTGCTGCTGAAGCGAGCATGTCTATACCATCTTGGATGGATGAGGCTAGTGTATGTAAATTAAGGAAGAAATCTATAACCAGTGTCAGTAGGAAAGGGGACAGTTCCTTAAGAGAATCAAAATTTTGTATGTTTTAGAAATTAACATTTTAAAGTCTTGTTTTTCTATTTATAGACCTTATATTTTGTTAATAATATTTTCACGTTGAGTATAATTAGATCATATACTCACTAATTGTTCTATTTTCTTTTTTTTTTTTTTTCTTTTTTTTTTTTCTAATTGTTCTATTTTCTTATATTAACAGAATAGAATATGGCAGAGAGACCAGAGAGATATGCGAGCAATTCAGCCTGATGCAGGTTATTATAATGATGTAAGTATAAAACATGTACTACCTTATTAAAATCTCTCTTCTTTGACCTCTAAGCCTAAAAATATATGAATGCAAGTTGAAAATGGTCTTTTATTTTTATATTTTTATAGTTGAACATTACTGAGAGGGTAGTATGAACAATGGATTATATTTTGTCTCTGTTTAAATATTCCTTTTAATTGAATGATGAACATTTTTTCTTCTTTTGTTTTGTTTTTTTTTTTTTTTTTGGTTTCAGGAATCGAACTCAGACCTTGCACTTGCCAGGCAGGTGCTGTGCTGCTGAGCTATATCCCCAACCCTAATAATGAACTTTTGATATGGGTTATAAAGCAGTGTTCAACAAAAGATTGAACTACATTTAAGTCTTGTAATAGAAATTAATTTTAAGTTAGGCATATTGTGAACGTTTGTGTTGACTTTGAGGAGTGATTAAGGAAATCTGACCCTTAATGTGATACTTAGTTTTGTTGTTAAGTAATAATGGATATTTAACTTTACTGTATCTCAATTTTCTTGTAAATCTGTTACAATAGTATTTGGAGGGGATCCTATCTAGTTCTGGATTTGCCTTTAGATGTTGAGATAATGCCCTTGCCACTCTCTTGCTTGTTGCTCTGAAGGTAGTCAGGAGCTCTAAAAAAAAAATTTTCTTGTGTTACAGTTGGTCCCACCTATAGGAATGTTGAATAATCCTATGAATGCAGTAACTACAAAGTTTGTTCGTACATCAACAAATAAAGTAAAGTGTCCTGTATTTGTTGTGAGGGTAAGTATTCTATTGGATATTGTTTCAGAAAAATCAATACTGAGGGCTGGGGATGTGGCTCAGTGGTAGAGCTGTTTCCTTGCATGCACAAGGCCCTGGATTCGATCCCCAATACTACTTAAAAAGAAAGAAAGAGGGGCTGGGGATTTAGCTCAGCAGCACAGCTCCCGCCTGGCAAGCGCAAGTCGTGAATTCGATTCCCAGTACTGGAAAAAAAATCAAAAAAAAGAAAGAAAAAAGAAAAGTCAATTCTGAGTTAGTTTGCAAATTAGAAATTAGATGAAGAACAATTAGAAATTACTTTAAATATAAATTTGGGATAATAATTGGCTTGTTACTGGTAATTTTATTTTGAAATATTTATTCCCTTTGTCTATGTTTAGTAAAATATTACTTGAAAATTATTTGTTTTCATGTTGAAATTTTCATAGAATTTTCTCTGAAGTTTTGTGTAGATATAGTAGCAGGTCTAAGAATTACTGACTAGTTCAGTAGGAAATGCTTTTGTTACTGTGAGAAGACAGCATTCGAAGGTGAATGATAAGCTCTTAGGTGTTACTAGAAAGGAAGATACCTGAACAAAGGTGAAGAACTATGGTGTACTGGTCAGCTCCAGGAAGGTACTCAATCTGCTGTCACTGAATTTTTTAAAATATACCTTTATAATTAATAATGCATTCACATGATTCAGAACTTTAAAATTTGGAGGTCTTTGTAATGAAAAATTTTCTTATCTCTTCTCAGCATCCAGTTACTATTTATGTAGATGGTAGTTTATAATCATTTTGTATTTTATTCCATTTCTTAGAAATGTACTTGTTGGTTATTAATATTTAGAGGTATAGGCTGATGAATAGAGCTGAGCAAATAACAGCTGAACAAAAATATCAAACAGAAGCATGATGGTGATGGCAAACATTAATGGCAAATGAGCAAATTGTGGAATCTTTGGACATTTGAGCTCTGTGATAGAAAACAGGGGGGAGGTGGCGCTCCATAGAAATTGTACAGGTGGTCTTAGGCCTTCTATTTGACTCAGATCTATGGCAGTATATATACCAGTAAACAAACACTTTTGTGTAAGTAGAGCCCACCAGAATGTAGCATAATTTTTTTCATCAGGGATTTGATCAGTGAGGTATGATGGGCAGTGGATTTGAATATACTATTAGCATAACATAGAAAACCTTTTTGGAATGAGTAAGATCTGAACATCCTTTATTTTTTTAAGTGGATGAATGAATGTTTTCATTTGGGAATCACACTGTAAGGTCTTAGGAAAAATTTGCCTATATTACAGTACAGTCCAAACCAAGAGGTATTAAGAAATAAAAACTGGGTTCTGTATGTTCAGTTTAGTTCATTGCAGTATTTACTAGGTTGGGATCTAAAGCAGATAAAAGAATCTAGGAAGGTAGGAGGTTTTTGTTCCTAGTAATCAAAACTGATGTACTAATCAATAAAAAGTAATTGTCATGTACTTGTATAATTTACCACAAACACTTGATTTTAAGTAGTCCATCTTGCTCTTTCTTATGCACACTTGTATTTTTCAATTTCTTGTCAGTTTTCATTTTGGAAAATAGAATTGTTGTATTTTGTATATTTGTACCTTCTAATAAGTGTGTATTCCATTATAGGAACTGAAAATTTTAAAAGTGAATTGTGTTTTGAGTTATCATGTCACAGCTTAGACTTAGTTTGCAAGTTATGACATTAATATATTTGTGTAGTGTTGGTCATGATTCTACTGTGTAAAGTTGTTTTGATAGTAGATCAGCACAAGAATTATCACTTGGCACTATGAATGGTGGAGAGCTTATAATTTCTAAGTACATTTAGTTGTGGGAAAAGTTTGATAGCCTTAAGTTGGTATTGTTATCTGTTTGTTTGTTTTAATTACATACTTTAACACTGTCTGCGTTAATTGAATAGCAGTTGTAAGATACCAAATTCAGTCTTTCTGAATTTTTTAGTTACTACCTTATTTATGTTAGTCTACCATACAGCCAAGTAATACGAGATCTTTTGTGTGTTTTCTTTTGAAATGCTTTTTACAGTGCATAGGTGTGGGCACTTATAATGTACTTGTTTTTGTGTGTGTGTGCGCCTATTATTTTTAATTTAGTTAATTAACTTAAGTGCTAGAACTTTTCCTACATTGTATTAATACAGATTCCTTTTTTAAGCTTTTTATTTTAAAATAATTTGGGGTATATAGAATGAGTTACCTCGTTCTTTTAAATTTTGTGTCAGTACATGTTTGTAGTACACAATGATTATTCATCTTAGTGAGTTGGTGTATGTACATAACAGATCTTAATCCTTTTTGCTTCTCCGTTCCTTCCCATAAGTTCTTTTCGAACAAAATACTTGTTTAGAAAGCTGAGGTACCCTCCAGTGAAAGTCACTATCATCTTCTTAATGTTAATTACTGTATATGCATATTATAATGACTGTGTAAATATTTTCAAAATGAATGAAGTTGGAGGATTTGTGGTTATATGTAACCTTTTTGTCCTCCTCCCCCAGTGGACTCCAGAGGGCAGACGATTAGTCACTGGAGCTTCTAGTGGAGAGTTCACCTTGTGGAATGGACTCACTTTCAATTTTGAAACAATATTACAGGTAACAGCAATCACCAGATGATAGTTTATCCTATAATACTCTAAAGATTCTCAGAAATGGGCATATTATTACCATTGTGAAACAACAATTGTGTAATTTATTGCTGTAAGTTAATATATGCGCCTCTAAGCCTTTAATGACATGTTCCTTAAAGCATTACCTTATAAATTTTTTTTGTTTTCACAGGCTCACGATAGCCCAGTGAGGGCCATGACTTGGTCACATAATGACATGTGGATGTTGACAGCAGACCACGGAGGATATGTGAAATACTGGCAGTCGAACATGAACAACGTCAAGATGTTCCAGGCACATAAGGAGGCGATTAGAGAGGCCAGGTTTATACACAATATACCATTTTCTGTAGTCCCTATTGTCATGGTTAAATTATTCTCTGAGTGTATTCTGGGTGCAGAGATGCATGGGCTCTGTCAGATTCTGGGAAGCTTTCTGCACCCTGTAAACACAATATTTTTCTTTGTTTTCACACATTCACCATTTTGCTGGCACCTTTCTGAAGTAGTGTTGTCCTGGTATCAGCCTTTGCAATATGTTAGAGATGTATTGTCTGCCGCATTTTGCACTGGTTTTCTCTTTTCATTTATGGTTAATGTGTATGCCTTATTCCTTTTTATTATCTACTGTGTAAGACAAGAATATTTTATTCCAAATAAAGAATTCAGTCTTTAATTATACAGCTGAATAAAATCTAAAGCCTACAGAAAACACCTTCAGAATTCACACAATATACAAGGAAAAAAGGCTTAAGTGAAGACCTGGTTGGCTTGGTTATGCCACGACTTCAAAAAGAAAGCATAGGACTAAAAAACTCTCACAGCTAACTCCCTGGATGTGGCAAACATTTATGGATTAATGAATGGGTTCTTCAAGCTTTGCAGCTGTAAGCAGATCTTTGTCAAGAAGACTGTAGGACTTTTCTTCTGATTCACTGTTAACATCAGTTACGCAAATGTATAATAAGTGGTTAAAATATTTTCAGCGAGTTGTATGTCTTTGCATATCAACAAGATACATATAGTAAAACTGGAAAGAAAAGTTTCGAAAACGAGCCTGAAGAATTGCTGCAGCCTCAGAATAAAGCTAAGCAGCATTCTTCAAGGTTGTGCCACCTACCTCTGAGAGGAATTGACTCTATAGAAACACTATCCACTACAATCACTTGTTTCTATTTTCAGAATCAACAGAAATGGTTGGATATACATGGTTCTCCTTTGATATAGACTTGATTTTAGTGTAATGCCCATACATTTTCACAGTTGGTTTTTTCTTATAAAATTTAAAAGGTCAAGGGAGTTCTTAATGGTTCGTTGAGAAACTTGATGGTTTTTCACTACTAGGAAGAAAACTGGCTCCCTCTGGACAGCGGATTCTTTGGCTTTAAACACAAGTTTGAAAGTACCTATTTTAAAATTTTCCTCTAAAGGTCTAGCAGTTCATGGGATAACTTACCAGGAAGAAGGTGTGAAAGTTTTCCACAGACCGTTCGAATAAATAAGAAACATTGTAAGGGATGGTTAGCGGTGGACCTTCTACCAACCCTCCCAGCTTTTCAGTTTATCATTCCATGAAGTATATGAGGCAGAAACTGGTAACAAGTTTTAGAGCAGTATTCGTCTGTGATTTAAATGTCTGTGCAGGAATATTGCAGAAAATGAGTTCATTTAGTTTCTACACATAAGGCAGCTCTCTGTTTTGCTGGTGTGAGAGGACATATACTAAGAAGACCAGAGATGGCATTAAAAATAATAATACACCCACAAAGTTCTCTGAATACCGATAATTGGAAACAGAAACAACTGTTGAAATCTTCTTTTGATGAGATGCATACGTTAGCTGACAACATTCTCTTTAAGGGCTTCTTCACTGGATACTTCCCTCTCCTGTTTATAATGCAGCATAGTGTTTTTATTTTTCCCTGTCTGAGAAGCACAGATAATCTGTTAAATGCTGACTTCTTTCCCCTGCTGTGTGTCTTCATGTAACAGTTTCTCACCCACGGATAATAAATTTGCTACATGCTCTGATGACGGCACTGTTAGAATCTGGGACTTTCTTCGTTGCCATGAGGAAAGGATTCTTCGAGGTATGTGTGCTAACAGTACTGATTGGAATATTTAAATAGGGGATCCATTTGTGGTGAAATCATCACAAAAGCACGATACCAGCTTACATCTCCATTCAGTTTTTTACATGTACACCACCTCAGTCAAACTTACTGAAGACATCCAGACTCACTCTCTAGTTCACAATCATTTTGTAGTTTTTTACTAATAATATTATCTTTGAATTCTTTCAGCTGTGAATTAAACACAAAACTTTCCTTCTCACATTGTATGCTTATCTTTATGCATCTTTTAGGATTATATTCCTTTTCCTGTTTTATACTCAAGATATCCAACATTAATACTAATTTTATTTAAATAAGTCACATTCCTTTGGCAGTCCTTTTACAGTATAAATTAACTGATAAAATAGGGGTATCAATAGCTGTGCTTCTGGGTGTTTCTATTTCTAAAAACAGTTGGATTTTACTTTATTTTATTTTATTTTATTTGGTACTGGGAATTGAACTCAGGACCTTAAGCTTTCCAGGCAGGTGCTGTCCTGAACTATATTCCCGGCAGCAATTGGATTTTTAAGTGTACCATATTTATACTGCTTTGCACATATATATGGTTTGAAAGGGATTACTTGTTTCCTTATATTAGTTTTATAATTATAAATGAATCTTTATGAATTATTCCTACACTGCAGAAGAAATCCATTTTTCCACTTGGAGTAGATCAGTGGATTAGATTATTGGACTTCATAAAGAGGGGCTGCTAAAAATACCAACCTTTAACCAACACCATTTATGTGAATTCTAGGACATTAGGTGTGTACTGTACATATGCAATACCACAACAAAACATACTTCTAAATTCTGTTACTTGCTAGAAGATAGTCTCACATTCTTTAGTTTGTGAACTCTGACACTAATGCAGGGAGGGAAAATGGATGCCTTAAGTACTCGGTGTTAGGAAATTATTCAGCTGTTTCCCTTTATGTTTAAGTAGAGGTAGTTGTCTTGGTGGAATTCTTAGTATCTTAAAACAATTTGAGCTTTATATGCAGCATATAATGTTGACTTTTAGACAAGAAAATGACCCTTGAATATTTTAACCCGTATTTCAGAGATACTCCATTACCTTTGAATACATTTGTGTATGCATCCCTTGCTTTGTACTTGCTTTTTGGGGTTCATCTGCAAGTCTGTGTCATTAGCTAGCATAAGGACACAGTATCTGTTATGTTGAGGGAGTATATGCACTATAAAGGTCATAATAATCCTACAGCTTCAGAATGAGATTGAAACCGTCTAGTTTGAGTTATTTCATGGATGAGTACCCTAACTGAGAAAGTATGACACATTCAAAGTAAAATAGGTTCAGAGCCAGAATCTGAATCTTGCCATTTGACTCCTACTCTAAGGTTCCACTAACATTTTACATAACTATTGGTAGAAGTTTAAGAGTTGAGCTTTCTCTATTAGGGCTTTTTATTTTAGATTTTTACATGGAAATATCAAACATGCACAAAAGTATAATGAATCTCCATATACTTTTAGGATTTATATTCCTGCTTAATTATTTCTCTGTCTTCCTCCCTCCCTGGCCTTCTTTCTTTCCTTCCCTCCTTTCCTTCCTTCCTTCCTTCCTTCCTTCCTTCCTTCCTTCCTTCCTTTCCCTCCCTCCCTTCCTCCCTCCCTCCTTTCCCTCCTTCGTTCCTTCCTGGCACTGGGAATCAAACTCTGGACCTCGCATTTGCAGGCACACCCTGCCGCTGAGCTATGTCCTGGTTTTCTTTTACTTTTTTATGAAAAAATGTTTTACTTGTTATATAGTTATAACTTCGTACTTAAATAAAGCAAATATGAGGATCTTAAATCAATTGTACTACCCAAGAAGTAGTTTTAAGTCACTTCAGCAGCAGAACATCTGATAACCGTGGTTTTTTCTAAACTGAAATACTAGTATTCAGGTTTATTAATTGCAGTTTGGCATGTTGCAATAAATACGTGGGTTTTGGGTTGAAGTTTGGGAACTTGGTCCCTAAAAGGTTTGCCATCACTGGACTATAGCATCTGACAGGCAGGCAACATTGCTTTGTTCATGTTGTATACCATGGTTTAGGGGTTAACTATTTAAAAAATCTGGGAAAATGCTTAATTAAGGGAGTTTGTGATCATGTGGTCCTCTTTGTTGCATACTTTTCTACATCATCCTTAAAAACTAGTCTTCTACTCATATTTTCAGTGATAAGTATACACATAATTGCCTTTTTTAGTTTCAGACATCTTTAATTTTTCATAATGTTCTTTTCTTGTATCAGAAATCTACTTTACTACAACTTGTCCTGCTTTTTAGAATGCAAAGAAAGTTTATTTCCAAAACAGCAGCTCATTAAGTACTAGTAGATACCAATTGTGTCTTCAGCTTTAAGCATACAGCATTCCTGTACAGAAGCAATGAGAATATACCTGTTTCATTTTTGAGACAAGGTCTCACTACATAGTCTGGTCTTGAACTCACTGTAGAGCCCAGGCTGGCCTCATACTCATGGGGATCCTCCTGCTTTAGCCTTCTGAATGCTGAGATTACAAGTGTGCACCACCAAGGCTAGCAATGATAGCATACTTTTGAGCACAGAATTTATAGTTGCTTTTTAATATTTTTGAGAAAAGTATTCTAAGATTTAAAGTGAGCATAGATCTATTGTCAGGAGATTTGCTATGCAAAAGTATTTATTGGTTGATTTATAGGTTGAAAAAGCAAGATATTTATGAAATTGAATAAACCACAGCATTGAGGGCGCCATGTTTGTATCCAGTCACTACAAAAGTAAGTCACTAGAGTTTATATACATTTGTCCTTTTTTTCTCCTAGCATGATATTTTTTTTACTCCCCATGTCTAACGTAGTACCTGTCACATAATTTTTTTTAATCTTCTTTTGGAGACAAGTCTTGCTATGTAATACAGACTGACCTTGAACTCACTATGTACCCCAGGCTGGCCTCAAATTCATGGCAATCCTACCTCTCAGCCTTCTGAGTTCTGGCATTGTAGGTGTATACCACCACACCCAGCTAAGACACTTAATTTATGAACTAGGATTAAAATAACTTTTTTTTTTTTCTTTTTGGTCTTTTTGAGACAGGGTTTTACTGTGCAGTTCAGGCTGGCGTTGAACTCACAGAGATACTCCACTGTGATTGCTGGCATGTACTACCATGCCCTGCTAAAATTACATTTTAAACACTAGCAGTATGAGAGAGTAAAGGAGCATCTGGTTTACTGATATTTTATACATTTGACTCAAATGAAATAGCACCATTGAAGTACATTTATTTAATAAGCATATCCCTGGGGCCAGGGATTTAGCTCAGCGGCACAGCACCTGCCTGGCAAGCGCGAGGTCGTGAGTTCGATTCCTGGTACTGGGAAAAAAAAAAAAAAGCATATCCTTATTTAGGTAGAGGAATTGTATGATCCCTACCCCATGCTTCTTAACATTTTATAGGTAAAATGTTTTCACAAATTTAAATTTAGTAACATAGAAGAAGGGCCATGTGATAGAATTACATTTTTATTTCACTGAAGGGGAAGTAGACCACTTCCCACTAGCTGGCTGAAAGTATGGAATCAATAAGAATACTGAGAGGCTATATATATATACATATATATAAATAAATTTTTTTTTTTTCTTTGAGACAGGGTCTGGCTATATAGTCCAGACTGGTCTTCAACTGACTCTGTAGCCCAAGCTGGCCTCGAACTCATGGCCATCCTCCTGCCTCAGCCTCCTGTGCTGGGATTATAGGCATGTGCCACCATGCCCGGCCTTGAGGTCTTATATTCTTAGAAAGAATCTAGTTCGTAAGCTCCAGTGTGCTTGAATTTGTTTTATCTTCTTGATTTTAACATTGACCCCAACATATACTCTTACTGTGTATCACAAATTTTGTAAGTACTTGATTCCTTTGAAATAAATACTGATTGTTCCTTATTTTATAAATGTGTAAACTAAGGCATGAAGAAGTTTAGTAAACCTGCCAAAGATCATAGAGCATGTAAGAGGGAAGGCTAGGATTTGAACCTAGGATGTTTGACTTACGTTTATTTTTAGCTACTGTATTAAACTGCTTTTTTATGTGGTGATGTACACACCCACACAGAGAATTGAACCCAAAGCATTGTTCATGCTAGGCAAGTTCTCTACCACTGTGTTGTGTACCCAACCCTTCCTTTTATGTTTATTTAATTTATTTATTTATTTGGTACCGGGAATTGAACTCAACCTCGTGCTTGCTGGGCAGGCATTGTGCTGCTGAACTATATCTCCAGCCCATTCCTTTTACGTTTAAAAGAATGCTAGCCTGAGGTAAGTTAGGTGGAAATTAATATACAATCAGAGAGAGACTAGGCTGTCAAGTATGTGAAAAATACAGATACCAGAATTGTGGCTGGATGTGCATCTGAAGAAGGCAGATAAAGTCACAGTGGCCCAACTTGCATAAGGGATAAGCAGAACTATAATTAGTACCACCTCGTCCATTAAGTGCAGATATGCATCAGATAGCCAAGTGGGTAACCAGAACACACGGGCCCATCCCTTCCCAAAATGTTCCTGTTTCAGAAGCTAGGTATAAGCGAGGGTTAACAATGTTAGTCTTGTACTCTTCCTACATGCCCCACTTCCCTATTGGATCAATATTAGCTAAATGGCTATTTGTGTAATCCTATAGGTTGGTGGTGGCAAAACTGTGATATGTGTGTCTAGTGGCATGCAGGGCCCTCTGTCAGTATGTGAGTCAAGTCACCCCAGGAGCTGAACATCAGATATTCAGGTTTAATTGGGGCACTTTGTGATAGATAAGTGGGTTTTCAGTTGCAGTTTGGGTACTTAGTCTGTAAAATGTTCACCATCAGTGCTACAGGTTGATGTAGTTTGACCCACTTTGTACCTACATTGTGGCTTTACTGTATAACTTACCCTGACAAATGGCCTTGGTGGCCACCCACTTGGGACCCCTCCTGTCTCT